TCGATGCCATATACACGTCCCCTGATAGGGGACGTAACAGGGATTAAACTGATAAGAATAGTACTACTTAACACACCACTCCTATCTGGTGGCACATTAGATTGCACGCGCAGTGCCCCAAATTTGTTGTGATCTGTGAGTAAGGTAAACGGTTGTCCATACAAGTAAGGTTGCAGCTTTTTGAGGGCCCACACCACCGCCAGGCACTCCTTTTCAATGGCAGTGTATCTACTTCCCTGGGCAAAAGTTTCCGGCATAGATAAGCCCCGGGTTGCTCGCCGCCATCTGCTCCGACTTGGCTCAGTACTGCTCCCAATCCAAACATAGAAGCGTCTGTATGGACGAGAAAGCATTTTTGTTGGGTCAGGAGCAGAAAGTACAGGTCATTTAATGAGCGCCGTCTTGAGCTGTTGGAAGGCCTGTTCACACTCTGGGGCCCATACTACTATCTTGGGGAGGTTTTTTACGCGTTCCTATATGGCACTTACTGGGCTTTAGGGTCAGTCCGGCCTCCCTAATCCGGTCTAGTACGGCTCCTATGTGGGTCAGGTGTTCGGGCCAGGAGCAGCTAAAAATGGCTATATCATCCAAGTAGGCCCAGGCATACTCCTGAAACCCATCCAGTAGCCGATCTACCATCCTCTGAAAGTTAGCCGGGGCATTTTTCATCTCGAATGGCATGACCTTAAAAAAGCTAAGTCATTTGTCCCTAGATGAACAAGTACATCTAATTCCCCTTCCTGCTTTGCTCGCTTAACAATATTACAAATACGTCTCCTGTCTCTGTGAGCAGAAAGGTGGGAAGACATCTCACAAGATCAGCATTGTCCATCTTCACACCTCTTATTATAGAATCCCCCAACACAACTGCTTTCTATTAGGCCTCACCATAGTCTCCAATCCTGTCCCCACAACACCACTACACTTACAATATATGGCGCAATGATTTATGGGACTGGCATAGATTTTTTTTTTTATTTCCAGGCTGCTTTGTATCCCCAGTCCGGCCCTGCAAGTAGTAGATCCCCAGCTGGCAAAGCATTGTAGGAGTTTTACGAAAGACTGGGATCTACCTTTTTTTTTCTTGCATCATGGCTCTCTCTACTAGTTCCGCAACTGAGTGTAGTACATTAGGCCAGACAGTGAGAGAAAGTAGTTGCATTAGAGTTAGTTAGCATTTGGTTCATACATTAATTTCCAAAAATAATAGTTGGAATGCTCTCTTTTAGGTATGCTATCTTTGGTAAAGCAGATTCTGGCCTGTTATGCAGTCTCAGGTCACCAAGACAGGTTATAATACAATCCTGTTGGGTGCATTTGATACAATAATAAGTATAACAATATAGCATCGATAATTACCATTATACTTCTAACCCCTTCCTTCTACAAGTCCATATCGATTTTTAGAGTATGCCTGGATTTTCACAAGCTGCTTTGGGGTATAATTGATTACATTCTCTATAATAGACATCATTCATCCATTCAGGTCATTTGTTCATTCAGCATTAGAACAGCGAAGAAATAGTTCCATGAGTTATATACAATTTTTGCATGAAGAAACTCTTTAGAAAATAACACATTTAGATCTAGAAACAAAAAATAGAAACTAAAGTATTAACTACTAAAACTGTTTTTGTCTGCATCTAGATTTTAAAACAGCTACTATATATCAAAGCTTTTGCAAAATATTCATAGCAGTTTGACATTTACATACTGTGCCTATTTGCATGTCTTCAGACTCCTTATCTTTTGTTACATGACTATCTCTGTGTGCTTAAACTTGGTACTTTAAAGGAATGCTCTAAGGACCATAACCACTACAACAAACTATAGTGCAAGAAGTTATTTAACATTGTCTCCCAGCAAAAAGATTTTTTTAATCAACGATATTCTATTTTTTTTCAACAATAGATGTATTATTATTATTATGTTATTTATATAGCGCCATCAAATTCTGCAGTGCTTTACAATGGGTGGACGAACAGACATGTAGTTGGACACACAGGAACAGAGGGGTTGAGGGTCCTGCTCAATGAGCTTACATGCTAGAGGGAGTGGGGTAAAATGACACAAAATGTAAGGATAGTATTAGACTAGTGACAGTTGCAGAAGAGGAATCAGTCAGGAGCTATTAACAGTTTAATTGATACGCTTTTATGAAGAAGTGGATTTTTAACGATTTTTTAAAGGAGTGGAGACTGGGTGCGCATCTAATGGAGGAGGGAAGCGAGTACCACAGGAACGGTGCAGCCCTTGAGAAATCTTGAAGGCGAGCATCAGAGGTGGGAGTACGGACAGAAGATAGGCGTAAGTCTTCAGTAGATCGTAAGGGCCTAGACGGGACATACTTGTGTATAAGGGAGGATAGATAGGTGGGAGCAGCATTATGTAGAGATTTGAAAGCAAAAACCAGAATTTTAAATTGAGCTCTATATTTTATAGGAAGCCAATGTAGGGACTGACAGAAGGGTGAGGCATGGGAGGTGCGAGCGGACAGGAAGATGAGCCTCGCTGCTGCATTCATTATGGACTGTAGCGGCGCAAGTTGGGAGCACGTAAGACCACTGAGAAGCGGATTACAGTAGTCAAGGCGAGAAAGGACAGTGGAATGGACCAACACGTTAGTCACATCTGGTGTTAAGTAGGGGCGGATGCGCGCAATGTTTTTGAGATGGAAATGGCAGGATTTGTCGATAGACTGAACATGAGGCTTGAAGGAGAGGTCGGAGTCAAAGAGAACACCTAGGCAGCGAGCCTGCGTGGTGGAGCTGATGGTAGCACCGTTGACTTGGAGGGAGACAGACACAGGAGTAACAACAATTGAGGGAGGAAAGACCAGAATTTCAGTTTTGGTCAAGTTTAGTTTAAGGAAGTGGGCAGCCATCCAGTTAGAAATAGCAGAGAGGCAGTCAAAGACACTAGTCAAGAGGGACGGGGAGAGATCAGGAGAGGACAGGTAGGTTTGCGTGTCATCTGCATAGAAATGATATTGGAAGCCAAAGGAGCTAATGAGTTTACCAAGGGAGGCAGTATAGATGGAGAACAGTAGGGTACCAAGGACTGAACCTTGGGGGACACCAACAGAGAGGAGTTGGGGAGAAGAAGCAGAGCCAGAGAAAGAAACACAGAGAGAGCGCTGTGAGAGGTGGGAGGAGCACCAGGAGAGAGCAATATCTTGTAGACCGATATTGCGGAGGATGAGAAGAAGCTGTTGATGATCAACAGTGTCAAAAGCCGCAGACAGGTCAAGGAGAATTAGGATAGAGTAGTGACCACAAGATTTTGCAGTGAGTAGATCATTGGATACTTTGGTCAGTGCTGTTTCCACAGAGTGCTTAGCGTGGAAACCAGACTGAAGCGGGTCTAGCAGAGAGTAGGACTCGAGGAAGTTTGTCAATCTCGCATACACAATTCTTTCAAGGGTCTTGGATGCAAAAGGCAGTAGTGAGATAGGACGATAGTTGGATGGGGAGTTAGGGTCAAGATTGGGCTTCTTTAGAATTGGGGTTACAGTTGCATGTTTGAAGGGTGATGGAAATATACCAGAGGAGAGAGAGAGATCGAGAATTTTAGTGAGAGGTGGAGAAAGAGAAGAATACAGAGTACGGATGAGATGCGAGGGAATTAGATCTAGGGAGCAGGTGGTGGGGTGGGAGGACTGGAGCAGAGCAGAAACCTCTTCCAATGTAGTTGGTGCGAATGAACATAGAACACGATCAAGGAACATAAGACGATAATTGCGTCAGTTTAAATTCTGTTTTGCTCCTACCATAGAACAAGAGAAAATGTGCAATGAAGGCCTATCCCCATTGTTTGACATATAATATGTCTTACCTAATTTAGTTATTTTGAGATTGGGATATGTTTCCAATAAGCAGTCATTAGCATCTTCTGCCGTTTTAGGGAGAGATGGGGACCTTTGATAACTCCTATTTCCAAAGGTTCAGGTGTGGAAATTTTGTTTTCTGGAATTCTGGTTTCTGGAATATTTTTATTCCATTGGAAAGAATAAGTAGTATTTTCGGCTCTTTTTCGCTTAACCTCCTGTAAATAATGGTGGACAACTGCATTAAAGCTTCAAGAGTTGGAGGCAACTCAGTACGTGATAGTTCATCTTCAACAGGATCAAAGAGGTCAAGTCTGAATTAATTCCAAATCTAATGTTCTTGCATTGTGCATCAACAGCCCATCTTTTAAATTCCTCTATAAAGTGTTCAACAGTGCATTTACCCTGCTGATGTGATCTGATAGCAAACTCTGCAGTTCCCTGTTCATTAGGATCTTTATATAGCAATGACATAGCATTAACCTTGGGTCCTGGCATTGTTACTTTGACATGTACCACCTACCTAGAGAATGTTGTAAGCCACCTATATCCCTTAATGACAATGGTGTTCTCTGGTGGCAGTGGACCTCTTTCACCAGGATAATGTTCTTTGCCACACTGCAAAAATTGTTCAGGAAGAGGGGGAGAACAAGCTGGACACGTCCTCGCCAAACCTTTTGCCAAAAGCATATAAAAGCACAAATATATCCGAACCAGCACCTTTTTGGGACCCTATCCTGCATCATGGATAAAAGGACCCCTCGTAAGCCCCCCCAAGAAGCATCCTGAACCGACAAACATGGTGGTGGTGGAAATGTTTCCAGCCTCCCGAGCCGCGCAACAAGAAGCGCAAGATAGTGGCGGAATGAGTTCACATGCACCTCCATCCTCAATGGGATCAGAGGCCTCACAGCTACTGTTCACCCAGCCCCCAGACACAGCCCGAATACTCATGGAGGTTCGAACCTACCTCACCAGTGAAATCGGAAGAAGCCAAAATCCAGAAATGGGGACGTGCACCACCATCTTAGAGCAGTGAGTGGAAACAGTGTTGAGTGCCCACAACGCCTTACCCAACCACGTTACAGCCTTGACCACATGCTTAACATCCACAAAAGCTGCCTTGGAAGATCTGGCATTCGCGGGGTACCGGAGTCGACGGGGAAGGGCAGCCATGGACCCGATGCTTCACATACTCAAACCACTACTGCCCAACATCCCGCCTGAACAATGGTTGCTGGACAGGGCCCACAGGGCACTCTGCATGAGAAGGGCAGGTAACACTCAGCCCAGGGATATTATGATAAGGTTCTATTATTACCACACAAAGGAAACGGTTATACGTCACAGCAGAGAAGGCCCCATCAAATTCCATGAGCACAACCTCTCGATCTACCAAGATCTTGCTCCAATCACCTTATTTAAAAGAAAGGAATGGAAACCAATTACTGATATACTCCACATCAACGTAATGAGGTATGCCTGGTGTCATCCTTCTAAGCTCCTGACCTTCAAGGACAGAAGGTCACATGTGCTACAGCCGGGCTCCGATCCAGTTCGGTTCCTGAACACACTGGGGATTGCGACACCAAGCGGCACCATCCTCCCAGGGAAACCAACAGCAGATAACCCAGCTTTAGCACGCAAACGGTACACAACAGTAGAAAATTGAGCCACACTAAGCGACCATCACAGGGACTGGCTGCCTATCCTAAGCAAGGTACACGAGAAGGGACCTTCTTGAACATGGCCGGGGCCTGGCGGGCCAAACAGGTACTGAGGGGCAGCAAGTACATGGGAACTCGTCTCCGGAACGAACGCTTTACCAAATGCAACATTACAGTATTATTGTTTGTCATATTGTGTCATGGTGGCGATCCGATGACCGGGACCCAGTATGCCTGATCTTGATATTAGGAGTCACTGTGTGGAAATGGATGTTCAGGGCCTGGTGCAGGGTAACCACACGCCTCGTGGTGTTGAGCACCAGCGTTTGTGCGGCCACATACCAGGGCCCTGCTGCAGCTTCTGTGAATCCCAGGAGCTATTAGCTTGGAGATATGCAGACCTCCCAGGAACTGGATAAGGAGTCTCTGCAGCAGATATGTATCCAGTACAGAAACAAGGCATGACTAGAATAGACACCAAACAAGAAAACAAGACAAAACTAGGAGAACCCAGAACCTGAGCATTTCAGAAAGCAGAACCCAGAACATGTACACAAAATATGAGGAAAACAAGAGCAGGGCAGGACAGGACTGTTCATGAACTGGGAATACAAGATAAAATAAAACAAGACCAGAGATGCAAGGCAAAACAGAAGGAGATATAACGAAGTACTGTATATGTAAAACATTGGAGATTTAGACATACATAAATGGCCAAGATGTATGCAGCCCACCAACTGAATCAAAGTCCTCCAATTAAGGTGGGTCATATCTACCTAGATATGCATGACTAAAGAAACAATAATAAAACACACCGCACTTACCTGCAAGAAAAGGCAGAGGACTTGAGCAACTGCCAGCAGGTACCAGACTGAAACAAAAGGATTCATGGAAAAGGAACGAGTGTGGCAACATAAAACAAACATTTAAAGGAATCCAAGAGACTGGGAATTCCAGGAACGGAATACAGGACTGAACCCAGAAAACCCAGCATAAAGAAAACCAGACATGGAATAGAAAACCAGAAAAAACAAGAAAAACTAAACAAGAATTGTAAAAAGAGTACTGGATACCAGACGCCAAGGCCAGACATCTCTGCAGAACAGAGCAGGATGTGACATATTGCTTGTATCTAAGATTATACATCTCTATGGAATTGTTGTGGGCCATCTGTTCAGACCCTATGCATAGCTATTATAATACTTGCGACACCTACCAGCAATAAGCTGAGTATAGACACGCAACTAGACCTAGGCACCCCATAAAGCATCTGACGTAAGAGACACAATTTATGTAGCAATGAGCTACCATCACTGGGATACAACAAACTGACAACCCACCCTGACCCATGATATACAGCACCACACTGACAACTGTGTTGGTTTTACCTTGAATTTTTTTTATACTTGTACATAGTTAACTTCTTACTGGATAGCAACCCATTATGCCACACAGGCATATAGGCCATCCTCGAGAATGCACCATATGTACACCTCGCATGGCATGTAAAAGGGTTTCCAACCATCTAGAACCCTTCCGGTCTTAACCCGACCCTTGCAGACCATGACATCCTTAGGGGACCCCACAGATTCTGGGGTTACCCCCACATCATTGCCAGAATAGAGAAGCTTGCGTGGTATAAGTAGACCCAGGGATCCTACTCCGATTGAGATTCCTGACTCTCCGCTTCCAAGGGAGGCGTGGCACAAACCCACCTGTTGCATGTATTTACGGTTCTTGGATACTGATGTTTTTAAGAATTGTTTGGCAATACTGAGGCCCGGTCCAGCTCTCTGGTCTATGATCCGCCGCCTCCTAGTGGGTTCTTGTCCAGTGGATGCTGGGGCTCATGCCCCCCCCCCCCCCCATCGTCGGGCATCAGAAAAGACCAGACTAATTGGACAATTCATCATTTTGTTGTTCTACTATTCTTCCTTCTCTACTCTTTACTTCTAAACTCCTATACCCCTCTTTCTCTCTCCGAGTTGGCTGTGGTTGGGGGGAGGTGGTGGGGGGGCAGGGTTTTCCTCGCTTATGAGCGGAATATCCTTTGAACACAGGGATGACGCTCAAAATTTCTTCCCTTAATGTTAAGGGTATCAATGCTCCTAAGAAGCGGCAATTACTACTATGAGAAAAGGGGAAACTCACCTACCAGTGACTAACTTCGCACTTAAAGACCACATATTGTGCATGAAGCTAGGGCTCTCCGCAAACATAATGGATTGGCAATACTCATCCAGAAACGTTGACCGCTTCAAGTAATCAAAGTTTTCCCAGACATGGATGGAAGATACCTTTTGGTATCTGGAAAAATCCACAACCAAACACTCCACTTAATAAATATTTACGCTCCAAACATGCTTATTCCAGGATATTGGGATAAGCTGGTCTCGCTACTCGACTCGCTCTCCCATGTAATAATACTGCTTGGGGGGAATTCAATGCAGTGCCATGCCCGGCCGCCGACAGGAGCCTCAGGCAAGGGATCTCGAGATCACATGGGTTGGGTGGACAGGACAAACAGGGCTAATTGATGCATGGATGATACAATACCCCGATGCAAAAGACTATACTTTCTACTCTGCCCCACATAACACCTACTCAAGAATAGACAACTTTCTTGTTAATAATACCGGCATTTCAAAAGTTAGTAGAACAGAAATAGGATGCATTATGTGGTCAGACTACGCAGACATAGCAATATATCTAGATAAACTAAATGTAGCCTCCCCTTGGACATGGAGATTAAACAAATTCTTACTTAAAGACACTGCCATCATATCTACTATTCATAAGGAACTGAAAGAATATTTACAAACCAACTTAACTCCAGACGTCCCAATAGGCACAGTTTGGGCGGCGCATAAAGCCGTGATAAGAGGTTAACTCATCAAACGCTTAACCGAATTGCTAGAAACCTTGCGCAAATTAGAACAACAGATCAAAACAGATCCGACACAGGCAAAACTAACAGAACTGCAAGCCGTGAGGCACTCAATCAAGGATTTACTCTTTGAAGACACAGCACATGTTCTACAATGGTCTCGTTTAACCTTTTACGAAAAATCCAACAAAATGGACACACTCCTGGCCCGCTCACAGAAACGCCTCACTCATATAACCACAATCCAGGCAAGTGAAGGTTCCCTAACAAGTACTCCCCGAGAACATATCCCAAATATTTACTGACTTTTTAAAAACTCTGTATAACCACAACAAGGGATAAGAGGACCAGATAGCAAATGATATCGACATCCCAGAGATGTGCTCTTTCCTAGACAATATGACCCTCCAAAATTTTCCCACAGAAACTAAACACACTCTGGGATCACCTTTCATGACAGACGAGGTAGAGGCAGTGATAAAATCCCTAAAGGGGGGTAAGGCTCCAGAGCTGAACAGATTCGGGGGGGGGAGAGGGTGGAAATATAAAACCTTCCGACAAGAACTAACCCCGCAATTGACTGCACTCTTTAATTACCTAATGAAGGGAGGTGTCCCCAATAATGACATTGCCTTAGCAAACATAATACTGCTACCACAACCTGATAAAGACACTACACTATCCTAAGCATACAGACCTATCTCCCTATTAAATCAGGATGCAAAAATCATACCTAAAATTTTTGCGGACAGCCTTAACCTATTCCTGACACATCTGATCCATGCAGATTAGGTGGGATTCGTCCCTGGGAGACAGTTGTTTGAGAACACCAGAAGGAACATAGACCTGATATGGAGACTAAGAACCACAGCTACCCCAGCACTAATACTGTCGCTACTGTGTAAAATGGCCCTACATGTTTCAACTTCTAAAACACTTAAAATTCCTGAACACTTTCATAACCACAGTATGAGCAATGTAGACTAACGTCACGGCACAGATAAAACTGAGCAATGGTACGAGGCAGGGTTGCCCCCTCTCGCCACTGCTGCTTGTGATGTCCCTGGAGCCCCTATTGCAGGCTATCCATAGTCACCCCTCAATCCACGGAGTACAAATTAGAGACCAGAACTTTGTAGTTTTGGGATACGTGGATGACATCCTCCTCACATTAACGAATCCCAGAGAAACTATGCGGGCCTTGGTCCTACTCCTGTCCACTTACGGGGACTTGTCTTTCTACAAGGTGAACATGGAGAAGTCCAGTGCTCTACCTTTAGACCTCTCGGCGGCAGACACGTCACATGTCAGCGGCATATATAAAATACGAATGGCGCACAACCATATGAAATATCTGGGGATTAACCTTACTGCTAAATAAGAGAGATTATATCAGGCCAACTACATCCCCCTTATATGGGAATTGACAAGCGACATGGAGAGGGGGACCGACAAACCGATATCCTGGATAGGCAAAATTCAGTCAGTGAAAATGAACATACTCCCCCCGCATATTATTTCTATTGCAGACATTACCCCTACCAATTTCTAAAAAAGACCTGGAACCCCTACAAAGAGAAATCTGCTTGGGTGATTACCTGCGTGTTTGACTGTCTGCTTGTAACTGTGTGTGAGTGACTGTGTGTGGGACTGTGTGCATCTGACTGTGTCTGACGGTCTTCGCCCTGCAGTGAGCCGGCAGCCAGGATATGATGTCATCGTGGCCTCGGCGTCATTACAGGGCGTGCGATGGACCTGTGCAGAAAGAGCACAGAAATCCCAGCAGCAACCACTGACCACCAGGGCTGAGGATCCACTCCAGCCCTTCTAGAGCAAGGTAGGGAGGCTGGATGGACCACTTAATTATTAAATTAATGTAATGTTTGTGTGTGTATCTGTGATTATGTGTGTGATTGTGTGTATCTCTGTGTATGTATTTAGTAGATAGCTCCCTTATTTCCTGTCCTTAAATATTGCAATCCCACATAAGGATAACAAATAAGGGATTTATCTACTAAACAACTGAAAATAAAAAAAGAGCGTGTTTTTTTTAATCCTTTAGCTGTTTAGTAGATTATTCCCTGAATTGGTGCCCGTATGTGAGATTTCCATATTTAA